CCGCATGTCTCCCCATTCTGTGCACACTAGGCGGGGCTGTTGGACCTCGCAGAGGCGGCCCGCAGGGTGTGTGTTTTCTGCTGAGTCTCCGCCTCCCTAGCCAGATGCCTCCCCACTCTGTGCGCTCTAGACTGGGCTGGGACGTGTCTTCTGCTACCCTCATCTATCAGCTGGTCCTTCAAGCCCCTGTTCGGCACTGCCCCTCCCAGGAAGTCTTTCAGGTTTCTGCTAGGCACAGACGACCGGTTGCTCTGGGTGCCTTTGTAGCACTGTATAGGGCTTTCTCGGGACTTATCACCTTTCTCCTGGTATTCCAGTTATCTGTGTAATTGTCTTATCTCCCACACTGGAGCGTGAGATCCTCGGGGGAGGAGCCCGCAGCACACAGTTCCTCTTTGATTCCCCCTGGTGCAGACGGACTCCGGCGCCCACCGCAGTCAGCTCTCTGGCAGGTTCAAGCAGCTCGGGAGCACTCTGATCACACTTTTCCTAACCATAAATCGGTTAGGCATTTTTCCAAACTGATGGCCGCAGAGATGGTATCTGCCTCACAATAACAGGAAGTTTATCGGGGGCCGGAGCCCTTGGTGCGGTGGAGTGACAATTGGCCCGGCCCGTTGTTCCCTGTCCTCCCGCCTCTGGCCGGGGGCTCCCTGCGCCACCAGCCCTGCCAGAGAACCACGGGGGAAGTGGGATGTGAGGCCGGCCTGCAGGCCCCGGGAGGCCCCGCACCGGGCCAAGGAAGTGGGAAGGCTCAGTGAGGAGCCAAGCCGGGTGAGGAGGGCAGGCCTGGCCAAGCCGGCCGGCTCCTCCCCGACCCGAGAAAATGGAGGCAGCCCCGGGCCGGTGACTGGCCTAGTGGGGCAGGCAGATACCAGATGGGCATCTGCCCCGCAAGCAGGGCTGGGCTGGGGGTCACTCACGGAGCTGGGCCGGCTGAGCGGCTCCCTCTCCGTTTCTGCATTGTCCTAGCCTCCACTGCATTGGGCTGCTCACTCGGTCCCGTGGCACAGCTCGGGCGCTACCAGGAATCTTCTTTAATGTCGGCCCTAAACCTCGAATCTGTAGTTGCTTTTTTATACTTGTAGATTAGTTGATCAAAGACTTATTCTTTTTTTGTTGCTCTTGGAAATGCAAATAGCACTCTGGCAGCACAGTGCACACCTCTGAGGCTCACGCTGTCTTCTGGCACCCCTGCTCCAGATCTGTCGCCATCTAGACTTACCTGCCCAATTTATTTATTTTTTAAAAAGATGACCAGTAAGGGGATCTTAACCCTTGACTTGGTGTTGTCAGCACCACGCTCTACCAGTGAGCTGACCAGCCATCCATATATGGGATCCGAACCCGTGGCCTTGGTGTTATCAGCACCACACTCTCCCGAGTGAGCCACAGGCCGGCCCAACATGGTGTCACCTTAAAAGAATGAGAGCCTGGAACGTCACAGTCTGCCATCTTTCTGACATTACTTGCCTCACTTTTTGCAATATGGATAGGCCGATAATTTTCCAAGCCTTCAGTTCTGTTTCCTGTTTCCTTAACATTTTCTTCTTCAATTTATCTCTCTCCTCTTGCATTTTCCTATGAGCAACAAGGAGAAATAGAAATCACCTTGACTAAATATTCAAGTTCATCACTTACAATGTCTACTGTCCACAAAACAGTAGAACACAATCTCACCATGTTCTTTGCCGCTTTATAACAAGAATCACCTTTCCTCCAGTTTCCAATAACATGTTCCTCATTTCCATAAGAGACCTTACAGAGACACATTTAACATCCGTATTTCTACCATTTGATTGTAAGTGCCACCTCCTGACTGACCTTGAGCACATTATTTAACCTCCCTGTGTCTCAATTTACCCTTCTGAAAATTGATTGCCTTGTAGCAAGGACTGAATAAGCTGTTGTTGTGAGGCACCATCCCACAAGAAATGCACTTACACGCCACTTGTGTGCAGAAAAGGGCAGTCTATTCACTCCAGCTGGCCAGCAACCATCTCCCAAGGGGCAACCAAGGAAGAGCAGCCTCAGGCTTTGGTCTTGTAGGGTTTTTGAAGACAAACACTACATCCCGTTGGCACACAGGTTTGTCCAAGTGCACAAAGCAAGCAAGGGGGCTAGGTCACAGAGGCTTAGAATGAGCCGTTCGAGCAATCAAGCATATAAGTTTTCATTGTATATGGTTCCCGTTCCCATGTAATAATTCATTGTGTATGGCTCCTGTTTCTATGCAATTGTTTTTTGTTTCTATGAGAAAGTCAACAGTTTCTCATGCAGAAAGGGGGTAGTCTGCAGGTCAGGCAGGGGGCAAAATGGAGTTACTTAGGTTAAGCAAGCAATTTTACAGAAGCAGATAGCGTATGTTATGAGGGTGTAGGGAGCTCTATTTCACTGTAACCCTTAACATTACTATTACTATGTGCCAGGCACTGTTTGAAGTGTAGAGAATTAAAGGTGAAAAGATGAGCTGAAATCCTACTCTTAGAGAGCTCACCTTCTAGTAAGAAGAGTTGGATTATAAACAAGTAAATAAATCAGATTCATAGTAAGTCACATGGTGGTAAGTGCTGAAGAGAAAAGTAGAGAGGGACAGGAAAACAGGGATGGGTGGAAACCTGGTACTTTGAATGGGAAGGTTGGGGAGAAGTCACTGATTAGTAGACAATCGAGTAAAGAGCTGAAGGAGTGAGGGAAATGGCCAAGAGACATTTGGAAGTGAATGTTTTAGGCAGAATGAGCAGCAGGCACAAAGGCCCTGAGGCAGGACCATAACCGGGGTGCTGTATTAGTTTCCTGTGGCTGCTGTAACAAATTGGCACATGTTTAGTGGCTTAAAGCACACATTTAGTCTATTAAAATTCTGGAGGCCAGAAGTCCAAAATCATGTTCACTGGGTCAGCAGGGTCATGCTCCCTCTGGAAGAAGAAGATCTGTTCTTTGCTCCTTCCAGCTTCTGTCAGGTAGACATTGCTTGGCCACATCATTTCAACCTCTACCCTTGTGGTCACGTTGCCTTCTCATCTGTCTGTGACCTCACTCTGCCTCTTTTTTTTTTTTTTTTTTTTTTTGGATGTTTTAGCAGGCAAGGGTAGACTTAGACTGCTAGGGAGAAAAGGCTGCTCAGGGACACCGCTCTCCCACTCTTGACTTTTGAGGATGTGGCTGTGGACTTTTCCTGGCAAGAGTGAAAGATCCTTGATGAGACTCAGAGACTCCTGTACCACCATGTGATGCTAGAGAACTTTGCCTTTGTGACCTTCCATGCTCGGCTGGCCTCTTTCCTTCCCCTACCCAGGCCATAGACATGGCTCCCTTCCTAGGTTTCCTTGCGTAGGTGCTGGGGGTGCCAGAGCTGGACTGAGTGTTCACCAGTCCTCTCCCCAGGCAGTCCCACCACCTGGTGCCCTGGAGCCTTGCAGGGAAGGAGTGGGGCCCAGAAAGTCTCACAGTGAACCCAGTGGAACCCACCAGGCTTGGCCTCACCCTGGCAGAGTGACTGTCCAGAATCATTGTGCCTTTGCCCCCGATTCTGCCCTCTTCCCTGCAGTTGACATTGCCTCATGCTTGGCAGTGCCAGGAATTGCAGGCACCAACCTGGTCACTACTTTCAGCAACCACTCAGCTGTTCCTGTAAGATGTTCCCCCAAGGATCCTCTTGTGATACTAGTTTTCTTTCCTGTGGTCTGTTGTGGGGTGGATTACTCTGCACTGCTGCTGTCCACTCACCTGCCTCGTCTTCCCCTTAGGACTTGCATCTTCCTGGATTCATGTAGTTGTCCAGCTGGAGCTGGGAGGAGATGCCTGGGCACCTGACAGGGCAGACATGACTCCAGCCATGGCAAAAGGGCCCCGGAGGGGGACTGGCTCTGGTAAGTGGGAAGTGAGGGGTGGTTCAATGTCAGGGCTGGGTTCAGGTCATATCAGGAACCTCTCCAGTGCCCATCATTGTTTTCATACCAAGGAGAGGGGCCATGACTCATTTCTGTCTTTCTGTCCCATTCTTGACATTCTGCTCACTTGCCATTCCTACCCTGACTTCTGGCCAGGGCTGACCTCCACCTGTCTGGTTTTCAGCTCCCATGCATCCCTCTTCGTTTCTCCCTCTGCAGTGTTCTGCAGCACTGACGTAATGTCTTGTGAGATGTGCACCTATCCCACATGGTCCTTGGACAGCTCCTCAGTTGCAGTTGGCTTTTTCCTGGGTCTGGACACACCCTCTGTTCAGTGCTCATTTGTCATCAGCAGACAATCCCCTGCTGAAAGCTGTTTACAGAGAAGTGAGTCAGAGACTCACCTTCTCCTTCCTGTGCTGCATCCCATAGCTTTGTCCCTGCCCCACACTGGATGTCCCCATTGTTTTATGTTCCCAGGCTCAGTACAGCAGACCCTTTCTCAGCCTCACTTCAGTCCCCTTATCCTATCCTCTCAAGAGTCCCATGTACTCATCCCTGGATTTGTAAGGCACACATTTCTGATGGGGTCCCCCCACGACCAAAGTCTACATTTCTCTGCTTTCAGGTTGTTGATTTTGAATGGAGGATGAAGAGGCACCTTCTCAAGCAGTGCCACAGGTCAGGGCTCCAAAGGCAGGTCCAGCCACCCAGAAAGCTTTCCCTTGTGAGATGTGTGGCTCAGTTGTGAAAGACATTTTGCTCCTGGCTGAGCAGCAGAGAATACACCCCAGGCACAAACTGCACACATGTGGTGCATGTGGGAGACAACTCTGGTTCAGTATAAGCGTCCCCCTGCACCAGAAGCAGCACAGTGGAGGAAAACACCTCAGAAGGGATGAGGACAGGGCTTTCTTTGTTAAGAGCTCTAGAGTCCTCATGTCAGAGAATCCCTTCACATTTGGGGCTGGAGGGGAGGACATCCTGCCCAGCTCAGGCCTTCTCCAACACCAGACCATTCATAGCAAGAGGAATTCTCTAAGAAGCACTCAGTACAGGGAGGCCTTTCATACTGGAGAAGGGCATTACAGGTGCAGGGAATGTGGGAAAGCCTTTGGCCACAAAAATAGGCTTCTTGAGCACCAGAGTCCACACTGGAGAAAGACCTTTTGAGTTCAGTGAATGTGGAAAATTATTTAGCCATAACTCTAGCCTTATTGTATACCAGAGTTCACAGTGGAGCAAGGCCTTATGAATGTGGTGAATGTGGGAAATTCTTTAACCATTACTCTAACCTCTCTATACACCATAGAGTTCACATCACAACTAAGGCCTTATGGATGCAGCAAATGTGGGCAAGCCTTCAGCTACAAACACAGACCCATTCAATACCAGGGAATTCACACTGGGGCAAAACCTCATAAATGTAGTGAATGTGGGAAATTCTTTAGCTGTAAAACCACACTTGTTTGGCACCTTAGAATCCACACTGAAGAAAGGCCTTATAAGAGCACTGAATGTGGAAAGTTCTTTACCCAAAGCTCCAGCCTTATTGCACATCATAGAATTCACACTAGTGAAAGGCCTTATGAGTCCAATGAATGTGGGAAAGCCTTCAGCCCTAAGTCCATACTTGTTCAACACCAGAGAATCCATACTGGAGACAGGCCTTATGAGTGCAGTGAATGTGGGAAATTCTTTAGCCACAAGTTTGGCCTCATTAAACATCAAAGAAATCACACTGGAAAAAAGCCTCAATCCTGTGGCCTTCCCTCATTTCGTACCAGAAAACTCACACTGGAGAAAGGCCTTCTAGAGCAGGGAACATGCTATCTGCTTGGTTAACATAACAAGTGACATCAGCAAGAAGCTCTGAGAGTAGCCTCTGTGAGGTAGCCATCATCCAAAAGTTGAATCTCGCAGCTGGACATCCACATTGGAGAGATTCCCTGTGAGTGCCAATACCTCACTGGGAAGCTTTCAGGAGCTACAATGCACATTCTGACATGCCACAGTCCTTGCCTGAGGTATATTGCTGCCAGTACCTGTGGCAGAAGCCACTCACCTCTACCAGCTGGCAAGTGCGCATCAGGTTACCCAGTGTATCCAGGGAAGCAGACCTCTGTACTATCCCCTTCCCTGGAGGAGACCTCCAGTGGTCTGAGGCCATTGGAGTCCACCATAATTACATTCACACACTGGATGTGATTAATAGAGTTGGGGGCATCAAACTAGAGGGTATGTGCCCCATCTAAAAGTGCTTCCAGAAATATTCTGGTCACTAGCTGTGAGGGATGAGGATGTACGGATATCCTCAGGATTTCCAGATGTAGTCTGTCCTATGGACAAGGTCACTGAGGCTATTTGGACTCCTCACCTCAAGGCTATTGCTATACAGGCAAGAAAATGGAGACAAAGAGGAGAGAGATTGTAGTCCAGGCAGGATGACTTTCGTGACTCACAAACAACCTTTACTGCTCACTGGCCTTTGCTTCCATTGAAGCAGGGCTGTCCTTTACAAATGAGGAGCAGAGTTATGGTGGAGTCAATATGCGTTTGCCAAGTCTTCTGGTTTTTCAAGAGGAGCAGAACCAGGTTTTAATGTGGAGCTGTTTTTTTCCCCCTAATTATTTTATTGTTTAAAAAAAGATACAAAATACACACATACAAAAGGATATATTATATGGAAAAAAGTAAATTCCAAAACCACCACTGTTTCCCAGCTGCCTAATTCCCTCATTAATGCTGGCTTCCATGGTATCCTTAAAGAAATGTTCTAGACATATGAAAGTATACACGTATTCTCTTTTGCCTTAACACAGAGGGTAACATGTTATACACACTCTTTTATCCTTTGCTTTCTTTTTTAAATTAAGACAGTGTAGGGCCGGCCTGGTGGCGCACTGCTACATTGCACCGCTTGGGAGTGTGGCGGTGCTCCTGCCGAGGGTTTGGATCCTACATACAGACCAGTTCCCGCTCACTGGCTGAGCGAGGTGCGGGCACAACACCAAGGGTTGTGATCCTGTTGCCGGTCCCGGTCCGGTATGGGCGCGACACTGAGGGTTGCGATCCGTTGCCGGTCACAAAAAAAAGACAAAAAGGAAAAAAAAAAAAATTAAGACAGTGTATTTGGAGATTACCAGTCCCACACTGATACAGTCTTTGCTATCACAAGAAAGTTGTTACATGTGGGCTTTTGCTACTGTTATTGTGCTTCCCCCTAACTTGGAAGGGACCACAGATCTAGTCCCAGCCCTGTGCTGTACACTTGCTAAAAGCTTGCCTCTGAGAAGTCAAGTGACTCTTCTCTCATAGGTAGTTCAGGCAAGCCTGGGACTAGAAGTTGTGGAACAATTTTTCTTTTAAATCTCCATTGAATTATAGTTGACATGAAGTAAACTGTGCATATTTAAAGTGTAAAATGTGCTAAGTTTTATTTAATATATACACCCATGAAACTATATCACCATAATCATGATAATGAACATATTCCTCACCTCCAGTTACCTCATCCCTCTTCATGATCCCTCTTTCCTTCCCTCCCTGCCTCCCTTTTCTCATGACCAGTGATTTACTGTCTTTCACTCAAGACTTGTTTTCCTTTTCCAGAATTTTATATACATAGAATAACAAAATGTTTACTCTTTTTTGCCTTTTTTATGCAGCGTAATTAAGATTCTCCATGTTGCATATATGAGTACTTCATGTTTTATTATAGACTAGTAGTATTCTCTCATATGGTTATTCCATAATTTGTTTTTCTACTCATTTGTTAAAGGAAATTTGGATTACTTCCAGTTTGGGGCTATTACAAATAAAGCTGCTGTGAACATTCACATAGCAGTCTCTCTCTTAGGTTAATACCTAGAAGTAGAAGGCCTGAGTGTTTCATTTCTACCCATGAGATTTTAATGTATGGAGATGAATGAGTGATGACAAAGAGGGGCCAATGCCATTGAAAGAATTTATTTCTTACATTTCCCAAGAGAAGGGGGCACGCCATGCTGCACAGGGCCACATGGAAAGCACCAGTGTTGGTCAGGAGGCAGAAAGGAACAAGGGGAAGGTGTGGGCCACAGCCTTTATTGGGGTTTCCATGGGAAAGTCAAGGCAGGGCAGAGTAAACATTCTAGCATTAACTAGTTTGAATAATTCTGGCGAGCTTCGGACTGTAGGGCTGGTCTCCAGTTACCTGGTACTGTTCCTGGGTTGCTTCTGGGCAGAAGCAATATTGGCTTGGTGTGTATAAGGATGAGGCCCTAATCACATAGGACAGGAATCCTTAGAAGAAGAGGAGGAGACGGTAGGAATATGTGGTCATGGAGGAAAGGTCATGTAAGGACACAGTGTGAAGGCATCACCAAAACCCTACCCTGCTGGCACGTTAATATAGGTCTTCCAGTCTCCAGGATTGTGAGAAAATAAATTTCTATTGTTTATGTCATCCAGTCTGTGGTATTCTGTTATGGCAACCCAAGCAGACTAATTCAGCAAGAAAAAGCACATTATGAAGAGACAAAGCAACCATCACAACTAGACTCAGATATGGCAGAAATGTTGGAATTATCACACCAGAAATTTAAAATAACTATGCTATGATCTTAAATGGAAAAACCGAACAACATGCAAGAACACATGGGTAACTGATGTAATCAGAGAGATGAAAATACAAAGAAAGAATCAAAAAGAAATGCTAAAAAATAAATAAACCAGTGTAACAGAAATGAGGAACACCTCTGATGGTCTCTTCAGTAGATGAGACACAACTAAAGAAAGAATCAGTGAGTGTGAAGATTATATCAATAGAAACTTCTCAAACTGAAGAGCAAAGAGAGAGAGAGAGAGAAATGGAAAATGGAATATCCAAGAACTATGAACAATAACAAAAGATGTAACAAGCATAATGGGAATTATAGGAGAAGAGGGAAAGTAGTAGTGAAATTATTTGATGTGATAATGACTGTGAATTTTCCAAAATTAATGACAGCAAAGCACAGAACCAGGAAGCTCACAGAACATCAAGCAGGATTATGGTATAATATGAAATGTATTTGGTCTTTGTCCCCAGTTCCTGTCACAGAGCTAAAACCCTTGGAATTTCCTGAGTGATAGGGGTGTCTTTTGTCATTCATTGTGAGCCCCTTTGATAACACCTGCATTTATGCTAATGAGGTGACTTAGTATAGGGCCCCTAGAAAGCCTCAGGATGGGGCCGGTCACCAGAAAGACCAAGCAATTAGAGGGTTGAAACTTTCAGCCCCTCCTACCAACCCCCAGGAAAGGGGGAAGGAAAAGGTGGTGCTGGAGACTAAGCTCTATAAAAACTGTTGAACAACAAGATGCTGGGAGGGTGGTGTGCTCAGACGGGATTTAGAAGCTCTGCACACACCACCACCACCCCATATCTTACCCTATCCATCTCTTCATCTGGCTGTTCATCTGCATCCTTTATAGCATCCTTTATGATAAACTGGCAAACATAGTGTTTCCCTGAGTTCTGTGAACCATCCTAGCAAATTGATCAAGTGCAAGGAGGGGGTCATAGGAACCCCAGTTTGTAGCCAGTCAGTCAGAAGTACAGGTACCCTGGACTTGTGATTGGCATCTGAAGTGGGGACTGAATGCTCAACCTGTGGGATCTGGCACTATCTCTGGGTAGATAGCATCAGAATTCACCTGAGTTATAGGATACCCAGTTGGAAGAATAAAAGACAGTAAAATAAAATATTTTATTTTGCTTATTATTAAATGATGTAATAAAGAAGTGTTCAAAATAATAATAATAACTGTTGAAATGTTATGAGGACTGGGAGTGAAGAAGTGGGAATACTCTGTTGAAGCTACTTGAACTACCCCTGAAGTGGTATAAATGTTATTTGAAGGTGAACTTAGATTAGTTTAAAATGTATATTGTAAGCTTTAGGCCAACTACTAAAATTACTTAAAAAGTATAACTTATTATGACACCAAGGTCAAGTGTTTGAATCCCCATACTGGCCAGCTACCAATAAATAAATAAATAAATAAATAAATAAATTTTTAAAAAGTATAACTGATGTGCTAAGAGAGGAAAGAAAATGGAATAATATAAAATGCTCAATTACTAATATAATAGCTGACAGAATACAGCAACACATACATAAAATTATACACCACGATCATGTGGGATTCATCCCAGGGATGCAAGGTTGGTTCAATATACACAAATAAATAAATGTGATACACCACATCAGCAAAATGAAAGACAAAAACCATATGATCATCTATGTAGATGCTGAAAAAACATTTGACAAAATTCAACATTCATGCATGACAAAGACTCTCTATAAATTAGGTATAGAAGGGAAGTATATCAACACAATTAAAGCCATATATGATAAACCCACTGCCAATATCACCGTGAATGGGAAAAAGTTGAAAGTTTTTCCCTTAAAAACAAAAACAAGGATGCCCACTCTCACCACTCCTATTTAACATAGTATTGAAAGTACTAGCCAGAGTGATCAGGGAAGAGAAGGAAATAAAGGGCACCCAGATTAGAGAAGATGAAGTCAAACTGTCCCGGTTTGCAGATATGATCCTATATATAGAACAGCCTAAAGACTCTACAAAAAACCTCTTAGAGTTGATAAATGATTTCAGCAAGGTTGCAGGATACAAAATCAACATGCAAAAATCAGTAGCATTTTTATACTCCAACAATGAATTAGCAGAAAAAGAAATCAAGAGAGCCAGCCCATTTACAATA